GAAATTTGGTGAAGTATTATTACAATTTAAAATAAAAGTTCTCTATTTGAATATATTTTAAAATGTCATGTATTCATGTGATGCAAAACTGAATTTTTAACATCATTACTCCAGTCTTCAGTGTCACATGATCATTCAAAAATCATTCTAATATGCTGATTTACTGTTCAAGAAAAAACAATGTATTATCAATGTTGTTGTGCTGCTTAATATTTTTGTGGAAACAGATAATTTTTTTAGGATTCTTTGATGCATAGAAAGTTCAGAAGGACAGCATTTTTGAAATTGTCATCTTGTGTAACATGACAGCCTTTACTGTCACTTTTGATTTATTACCCCAAACATTTGACTGTCAGTGTAGTAAAAGTTGGAGGACAACAAAAGTCAAACCATACTATGAAACTTCATGTCACATGGAGCTGCACTTCATCAGAGATATTCATAAGATATTCATAAGCAGTTGAAGTTGGCTTGTCACACGGCTGGGGTGGGGGGTGGGGTGGAAGGATAGGGGTTTGGCCCATTCCTCATTCCCAGAAGAGAGCCAAGGAGAGCATGAGCCTCAGGCAACTCAAGATGTTCTCTATCTCCTTTCCCAGCTCCTCCTATATAGAGCAGGTCTGTTTCCAGTTCGCATGCGACATGGAGAGTCACAATGCATTTGCAAGTCTCACATTCCCAGAAAATCCCTCGGAGCCGAGTGATGTACAAATACAACTTTCAAAAGATGAAGACATCCAGAGAGCCGCTAGATAATGAATTCTCCAGGCTTCACCCCATTTCATGATACTTCATTACCATTGGATCCTATTTGAATTGCATGATATTAATTGCATGCAGTTGCATAACAGCTTCCTCATTACATACGCATGCTAACGTCGAGCCACTGCCCTCCGTCCCAAATGCACATTACACAACGGCGAGGCTCTGTGTGTCTGCATCTACCTCGTGCATTGTGCCAGGACTTGCATTATTGATGTACGGTGAGTTTCTAAAGAGCTTTGCAGAGGTTAGCCGGTGGGCGGCAAATACAACCCCTGTCTCCCAGCCCTCAATGTCCCTCTTCTTCTGTACTGGGACACCAAGCATAACAGGGCCTAAAATATTCCCTTATCTCTTATTCATAAGCTCACCTCGGAGGTCTGTACCTAGCAAACATGATTTCAGTAATAGCAGTCTACACTTTGGGTTGGAGGTCCTTTGAATATTGATCCTTGATATCTCTTAACCGGAATAACTGGAGAAATGGGCTAACCTGAAAAGCACAGCTCCTCTTAACTAGTTTTGTTAAAAAGAAGTGTGCTTAACTGCATCGAATGTGCATTTGTAGTTTACTTTAAATATTAAAAGTACATTTTAAAAACCTTATACTTGCAAACAAGGCCACTTAAGAGAAACTTTAAAGGAAAAGTTCACCCAAATTTGACAATTTGTTGAAAATGTGCTCACCCTCAGGCCATACAAAATGTAGATGAGTTTGTTTCTTAACTAGAACAGATTTGGAGATATTTATCATTGCATCATTTGCTCACCAATGGATCCTCTGCAGAGAATGGGTGCCGTCAGAATGAGAGTCCAAAAAGCTGATTAAAACATCACAATAATCCATAAATAATCCACAAAAAAAAAATGCTTGTTTGTAAGAAACAAATCCGTTAAGACGTTTTAACTAGAAACTGGGTAAAATATGAGTCCCCTCTCCACAATATTGCTTTCTCCAGTGAAAAAGTTGTCTTGTCTGAATCAGGAGAGAAATATGCACAAATCAAGCACTTTTACAAGCAAAAATAGCCCAAAACTGTTCTAAACAAACACATCTGTGGATGTTGATGTGAGAGGACAACATAGGATGTAATTTTTCACAGGAGAAAGCATTATTGTATATTATGTACTCGTGGCCAGAAGCGACGGTTTAAAGTTAAAACACCTTGATTAATTTGTTTCTTACAAACATGCAGTTTTTAATTTAACAGGATGATAATTGATGGACTGGAGTCATGTGGATTACTTGTGGATTATTATGATATTTTTATCAGCTGTTTGGACTCTCATTCTGACGGCACCCATTCACTGCAGATGATCCATTGGTGAGCAAGTGATGTAATGCTAATTTCTCCAAATCTGTTATGATTAATAAACTCATCTACATCTTGAAGTAAATTTTCATCAAAGTTGAATTTTTGGGTGTGCCATTCCTTTAAATATACACTCTTTTGAAGTATATTATTTCTTTAAAAAAAAAAAAAACATGCTAAACTCTTTTTCACAAGGTTACAAACCCAATGCCTGCAAACATTTACTCTGAGAAAAAAAAAAAAAGTGTTGGTGGGAATGTAAAGCCTTGTTAATAATTAATGCAATACCTTTCCACTTTGCTCGGACACTCCCTTGCTTGTAAAAAGACACTGCTACTTCACTCTCAGCTGCTGCTGAATGAATGTCTTGTGTTGGTTTTAGCAGAAAGCTGAATGGCCGCACAGTGAACTGTGAAATGTCTGCAGCATGTGCGTGCAAATCCATGCATAAACACAAGCAAACACATGGCTGTCCTTGAGAATTCCCATTTACAGTCATGTAAGTTGTTTTTGAGATTCTACCTGAACTCAACCTTCCAATTAAATATGGATTATAATGTTGGATGTTCTTGAATTACAGGGTTTACAGGTTGCATTTGCTTAGAAAACATGCATTTATGCATGGATTTCTTCCCACACAGTTTCCCACGCTTAGTCTACATCATTTCCATACTTAGATCTGGGAATATCAAAATATTTTACAAAACATTTTAGAGCTGTCAAAGTTCACATGTAAACTTACAAGAATAGTTTGCCCCAAAAATTTTTTTAAATATATTTATATGCATTTATCATCTGTGGAAGGGGTAGGACCATAAAATGTCTGTCTTCGGTCCGAGGGCTATGATAGGCTGTCCTACCTGTCTGTCAATGTATGTATTTGCATACCTCCACACACCCTGTTCATGTCATCAGCGTGTTCCATTACGCTATTGCAGACAAAGGGAGAATGGAAGGCATTATTATTGTAATATAATGTGCTAATGTTATATCACATGAGGTAATCTGACAGCATTGCATTCAACCCTCCACCAACGCCGTCTCTCAGCGTGTTCATGTGTTTTGGAGGAGGCTTATGCTTTCAAAGCTAGCTTGCTATTGCTAGCATCTCCAAAATCGCACACCTTTAATATACTGTATTAAAACATACATCTATGGTAACACTTAAAGGTTATGCACACTACAACTCAGCTATAAGTTATAACAGTTGATCTGCTTTTAAATTTTTCCATCAAAACATCATAATAATAAAGCATTGTGCTGCTTAGCAGCTTAGACTTAAATTAAAGTGTTTCGTGTTGTTATAACCATTATAAGAGGTGCTACCACAAATGGACTCGGCACAGTAACTTAATAGAAAGTAACACATAAATAAGACCAATTTATATCCCTAAATGCTTAATTTTTATTTGGTAGTAGTGTTAAAACATAAAAGCTCAGTTATATATAAAATACAAGACTTCCAGTGGCATATATACAGCTCTATTTGTGGCAAACCATGACACTAGCTCACCTCAGTGAATAGAAGTGTTAAATTGTTATTTCTTTCCAGTCATCTGAATAAGATCAACTAATTAGGAAAAACGAAGACTGCTTGTTTCCTGCAGGTAAACAGTGGCTTGTGTGACATCAGTCTGACAGTCAGCCCGGAGTCAAATAATCACTGCAAATGAAGGTGTAACAGCAGCCCGTGCTCAGAGAGATGTCTGATTGGGCTATGATTACATTCAGTCACAGAGAATATCTCTATATTGACATGAGAATGCAACTAAAATTGCATCTAGGCGTGCCAGTCAGTAAGGAGGTGGATACATGTCAATGCTTTCCTGTGAGGAATGTCAATTGCGTCCTCACATGGCCCACGATCCTCTGGGCTCTGCCCACGCTGGTGTGAGTTTGGCCTGTCTCTGAGCTAATGTGTTGTGAAGTGAGCTGGGCCTAATAAAGCATGGCAAAATGGAAGTCGACAGACACAAGATGTCATCAACGAGTGGGCCAAGAAAACGAGACGCACTGAATTCTGCTATATTAATCAGGCAGGTCTCAAAACTAAACTGCCACATTTGTGCTTGAGTCTGTTTAACTGTCTGTTTAATTTTCTAAATGCTCCTGCAAGATGAAGAGATAAACTGTTTGATTAATCTTGGCAGAGGCATTTACAATCTTTTGTAGAACGAGTATGACAACATCCCTAATTTAATAATGTAACCTGTCCTCAACCAGCAAGTTATCATGTTTGTACCACTGTCATGCAAGATACTATACCTTTAGAGACCTTCGTGTATACAGTGTATACCTTACATATCTTAAACTGCATTGATTTGTTTGTTAAAGTTTTCTCTGCTTTAAAGTATACATTTGTTCCTTATATTGTGTATAAGTAAAAAAAAGTAACCTTAAATAACTGAGTAAAATAATAAGTTAATATAACAGCAATTCATCATACAGGCACATGGTTTCTCTTACCATTGTTATTCTTATGACACACAGCTATATCTTTCATTTCAACCAGATGATCCAACGGTAGCTGCACGGAGGCTCAGGCTGCCTGGCGGACATCTTGGCATGGATGAAAAAGACATCACCTACAGCTCAACCTGGCAAAGACTGAGCTTTTCGTCTTCCCTGCCACTCCAACTCTACAGCATGATTTCACCATCCAGCTAGGTTCATCAACAATTACCCCATCAAGTTCGGTCAGAAATCTTGGGTGTAATCTTTGATGACCAGCTGACTTTCAAAGACCACATTGCAAAAAACGCTTGTTCTCCATGTTGCAGGTTTGCATTACACAGCATCAGAAAATCAGGCCCTTCCTAACGGAGCATCCTGCACAACCTCTTGAGCAGGCCCTTGTCATTTCTAGGCTGGACTAATTAAAATGCTCTTCTGGCTGGACTTCCATCATGTGCCATCCAACCTCTACAAATGATTTAGAATGCAGCAGCACGACAGGTCTTCAACAAGCCCAAAAGTGCCTATGTCACACCTCTCTTTATCTACCAGCACTGGCTACAGGTTGCGGTTCGCATGAAGTTCAAGACCTTGATGCTTGCAAATAGAACAGCCACAGGATCAGCACCCTCCTGCTTCCACTCACTCTTACGAGTGGCACAAAAATTCACTTTTCAAAACATTTTCATTCACCATTCCTAGCTGGTGGAATGATCTTCCCACCCCCATCTGAAATGCTAAATCCCTGACAATGTTCATGCGACAGCTGAAAACTCATTTCGGTTGTCAACATTTGACTGCATCCTTAAAAAAAAACCGGACTAATCCGAACAATATCTGAAACTTTGTATTACGAGCACTTCCTATGTTTATTTGCCTTTTTATGTTGAATCGCTTGTTGTATTCCTCAATTGTAAGTCGCTTTGGATAAAAGTGTCTGCTGAATGAATAAACATAAATGTAAATTCTGCATAATGTTATACTATATTAAGTAAATATAGTAGAAACAGTTTTATTACCCTTATTTTGTTTTCATTTCTAAATATACATTATTTTTTGTTTCCTTTTATAAGTGAAAGTAATAAAAAAAATAATAAGTGTTAAAATGAAGTTAATTAAAATTTATTAAAATATTTTCAAAATAAATTATATAGTATTACATATTGCATACATACATATATCAGATGGGTAGATTATATATTATATTAAATAGATAAATTAAAAATACATTTATAATTTAATTTTCAAATTAAATGAATACTGAAGCCCTAAAACTGGCAAGAGCAGCTTCCAAATTCTCAGTACTCATCTTGCTGGGTCTGTCTGCTGCTTTTGACAGTTAATCACCAGATCCTCCTGTCCACCCATATCTCAGGAACCACACTCCAGTGGTTCTAGTCTTACCCCTCAGGTAGGTCCTTCAGGAGGGGTGAGGTTTCTAAGTAACAACTTCTTGCTTCTGGGGTTCCTCAGGGCTCAGTGCTTGGACTACTTCTCTTCACCATCTACATGTCATCATTAGGATCTGTCATTCAGAAACATGGCTTTTCCTATCACTGCTATGCTGATGACATTCAACTCTACTTTTCATTCCAACCAGATGATCTGGTGGTAGCTGTTCACACTGCAGCCTGTCTGACAACAAGAACAAGAGCTATCAGAGCAGGCCACGCAACTCCTTGTCCAAGCTCTTGTTCTCTCCAGACTGGACTATATTAATGCTCTTCCGGCATGCACTATCAAGCCTCTGCAAATGATCCAGAATGCATCAAGAGTGGTCTTCAACGAGCCGAAGAAAGCCCACATCACACCTCTCCTCATCAGTTTTCACTGTATGTCAATAGATGCTTGCATCAAATTCAAGGTACTGATGTTTGCCTACAAGACAACAACTGACACTGCACCAATATACCTCTCGCTTGTTCAAACTTATGCACCCTCCAGAGGCTAGCATTCTGCAAATCAACAATGCCTCGTGGTGCCATCCCAAAGAGGCACAAAATCACTCTCACAGATATTTTCCTGGACTGTTCCCAGCTGGTTGAACAACCTGCCTATGCCAATTCGAGCAGCTGAGTCTTTAGACATTTTCATAAAACTTCTAAAGACACATCTTTTTCATCAGCACCTGACCAATTAATTCTATTCTATTTGTTTTTTTCTAATAATGACACACAATTGTTTCAATATCATACATTACTACAAAATATATAAAAGTATATATATAATAAATAAAAATAAAACAAAGAAGAAATATACTGTTATATACTGTATATATACGTTTATTGATGTAAATCATATAAATCTTAAATCCTCAAATGTAACTTAATTCCAACATTACCCAGAATGCAAAGAAAACCCCACCAGAGGGCTAAACTTCCAACTGAGGTTTTCTCTTATTTCATAAAATGTATTTAAATCCCACATAACTGCTTTAATTGAATATTAGCAGTTCATATTTACTGTATTTCACATCTCAGCACCAGAATCTAATAGGTCCCTTTTTCTTCCTATCAGCCATGGACATTTGAGCTGGTCTTAATTGCAAGAAACGCAAAATTGGAAAATATACCAGAAGCGACAAAAGCAGAAAGCCCAGAGAACACAGGGAGCCACACCGCAGCTTCTCATCTTTCCATGTAAATGCCGTGGGCGATCAGGCCACGCTGGGAAAGATGCATTCCCGCAATTAAATCGGTACAAGCTTAAACTGTCCTGCCGACTCCTCGCTGCATTTCTGAATGATATCTCGCGCTCAGCCAGAGGAGGAAACGGTTTGAGGTAACTGCCTGACAGACTGGAGGGGAGTAGGATTGAATTGTGTTTCACGATGTCGGCTAAACAGCTTCCAATACCAGTGTTATGGATAGATAGGGCTTTTTGTAGCGAAGCCACTGTCTGACAATCAACTCGTTAAGTTTCACAATATGGCTTTTCAACCGGCAGACCTTGTGTAGGCCTATGGTGGGCAGTGCAGGATGCTTTACCGTTTTATAGTCATATCTGCCAAAGCAATAGCTATAATTTTACATAGAAGAGTGAAAATAAATGGCCTATTGGATTCAGGTCAAGATCAAACGCTCAACAAACTAGGCTCATTCACAAACTGCCCGGATAATCCATCAGTTCCAGTCCGAAAGAAGATTCCCAGTCACCTTGAATATTTCTATGTGAATGTCCTCAAAAGAAACTTGCTCACTCTTCTTCTTCAGAGCGCTGAAGGCTTTTCTTTCACCACATCTTCATAAAAAATAAGTGGAGGAGATTTGCAGGCCAAAGTTGCACAATAAACAAAATTCTGAGATAAAAAAAAGAAAAATAGCAAGAGAGAGAAAGAGTGCAGAGAGCAAAAAGCTGGTTCAACAGAAGAGCATGGCCTCATAAATCTCTCCTCTTTCCTTCTAAGGATCGATTGATTTGATAAACGGGGAAAAATATGGTGGTGCTAGTCACTTCTTCAAATCTGCCTGGTTTCACTGTAAGCACAGGGACTTTAAGTAGCTCTAGGAGGAGATGGTCTGGATCAGAAAATGCCTTTATTGCATTAAAGTGAAACCTCAGTCACACATGCAAGCTAAAGGGCTTTGCTGTTTAGCTTAAGGGAGGGGGTGTGCTTACATTACAACAGATGCATTTCGGCCTACATAGTGCTGTTTTGATCGCTGAGCTGCACTATGAATTTGAAAGCTTTGATATCGAGACCCCCATGACGCAACCTTGTTTATTTATGGAAAATTGTTTGAAATTGACCACTCAAGCAAATTTGTTTACCCCTTATGTTGTTAAAATTAATTTTATGGTATTTGTTTGAGGTTCCGGACCCCATAATAATGGTTATTTTGAAACTAACCTGTTATTTTGCCATCAAATTTATTTTTAATGTTCGTCTTACCTAGTCAAAGAGAGACAGATTTTATTGAAGCTGTATCCCTCAACTTTACCACGAGACCTAGGGCTGCGCTACTTCAAGAGATTTTTTTTCCTTATAAAAACTGTTAATACAATTTAAAATGTGATTTAAAATTATATTTAATAATAATAACAATAATAAAAACTTTATGTTTGTTGTGGCTATTTGTAGTGCTGCAAACATAAATAGCATATAACAACAACAACAACAACAAAAATAATAATAATAATAATAATTATTATTATTATTGTTGTTGTTATATGCTATTTTATGCTAAAATTTCATGGTGAACTATTATAATAATATTTGTTATTTTGCTTAATAGTTTCATCTTACAACAACAACAATAATATTTTAATACATTATAATAATAACAATAATACATTAATAAAATATCTTATTACTAATAAAATAAATAAAACTACCAATAAATTATTATTATTATTATTATTATTATTCAAAACTATTACGCAAAATCAATACTACTACTATTACTACTACTACTACTACTACTAATAATAATAATAATAACTGGGCCACAAATATTACAGGGAAAACACCAGATAATGTGTTGGGTTCAGTTTTAACAGCAAGAACACATTTTAGAAATATACAGTTAAGCAAATCTAAGAAAACAAAGTGGGAAAAAGTATCATTTTTCAGGAAGGTTAAATTTAAATTGTATTTATGATTTAAAATGGCAAACAGAACATAAGGGTTAAAATACATTCTCTGAGAACACAGCGCACCCAATATCTAGACAGAAATCCCCAGTGTCGCAGCTTACTAATACATGCTAATTACACCCCCACAAGGAAAATTAATTTTATGCTTCGTTTAGAACGACTGTGGTATAGAGGATGGAAAAGACACGAAAAACTAAGCAAAGGCATCTTTAATAAATGGCTGAGGCTCCAGAAATGTTAAGTAAATGTGATACATAAAGAAAGCGTGCAGAAATGTTTAATGTTTAACCTCAAGGTGAAGTGTGTAATTGCTTTGATGTTAAAATACCTTTTCCTGTCTCAGCTTAATGAGGACAGACAACAATTAATGCATCTTTCATTTATTTCATTAGTTAATTTCCCTCTGAAACACTCAGTGGTGCCTTCAAAAACACAAAGAAAGAGGCATGTTTTAGTTTTACTAAATTATTTAGTAATATGTGATATAAAATACGTATAATGTGTATAATACACATATTTTCATGATTAGGAATAAAAATGTAATTTTATTAAATGCTTTAGTAATATAATGTGATATAAAATATGCAGAGGCGGACAAAGTACTCCACTCCATTACTTGAGTGTACAATATTTGTCTTTCAAATGTAGTGAAGTTAAAGTCATAAGTTCCCAGAAAAAATAATACTCAAGTAAAGTACAGATACTCAAAAAGTGTACTTAAGTACAATACTTAAGTAAATGTACTTAGTTACTGTCTGCCTCTGAAAATATGTATAATGTGTATAAATACACATATTTTCATGATTAGGATTTTTTTTTTTTCTAATCAGGCACCAAATATAGTAGCCATTAAAGGTAACATCTAGATTTAAAATAACAGCTTACTGCAAGTCATTGAAAACAGCCATTATTATTATTACTTTTGCAGTAGCACAGAAATTACACATTTCACTTTTAAATTATTAAACCACTTTGTATTCAAGAAGACAATATGGTCTGAGGCAGGGAGAATCCTTCTCTTTCATAACAATGATTCCAATTTCTTTTGTTT